ACTGCCCTAGAGCCACCCCACACACACACACAGCTGTAGGACAAGGAGGGGGGCAACTCACTGCCCTAGAGCCACCCCACCACACACACACACACAGCTGTAGGACCGGGAGGGGGGCAACTCACTGCTCTAGAGCCCCCCCCACACACACACACACAGCTGTAGGACCGGGAGGGGGGCAACTCACTGCCCTAGAGCCGCCGCCACCCCCCCAGATATAGGACCGGGAGAGCGGTCAAACCACTGCCCTAGAGCCCCCCCCCCCACAGGCTCCCGCTGTAGGACCAGGGGGGGGGAACTCATTCACTAGGCCCCGCCCCCCCCAGATTAGGACCGGGGGCGGTCAAACCACTCCCTAACCCCAGGCTGTGTAACCAGGGGGACTATTCGGGCCGGGCCCCACCCCCCCCCAGTGAGGCAACTCATCTCTCTCGCAGCAGACACCGGGCGGAACCGGGACCAAGCCGTGTCCCAGCGGCTCCTCCCGCGCAGTCCCCAGCGCAGCCTCCAGGCCCGCCCGACGCACCGCCTCTATCACCATGGCGACGAGCAGCAGCAGGACCCCAGCCCGTATCTCTGAGCGATGAGGCCCCGCAGCGGCCTCTAGCGCCTGGGAGGGGAATGGGCGAGAAGGAAACGCAGCCAAGCCCCATCATGTCCCCTTTGCCTCCTCAGTGCGTGCCAGCTCCCACATGGCTATTTGGTATGTGAATGATAAGGCCCAGCAGCCACGGGGCAAAGGACATGATCTTAAACACCCACCCACGTCCTGCTCCGAGTAACCTCAAACAATCCCATGGCACATTCTCTGGGAACACCACTCAGAGCATGTCCCCACTCCAACCCCAATCCAGCAGCAGGTTAGGGGTGCTATATGTAGCCGGCTAATAGCACTTAGATCTCTTCACCTTCAGCACTAGGTGAACTGATCCTTACAACACATCTGCAGACCTAAACATTATCCCTCTTTACCTCAGGTACAGAGAGACAAGGTCATACAATCAGCCAATGGCAGAGTTGGGAGAGAGCATATGTGACTAAAATGCTCTAGGGACTTTGGGGATGAAAACTGCTATACTAATGTAAGCAAGATATATTATTATTTAGTTATTAGTTACTATTGGTTTTGAGAGGGCAGGTCATTTTGAATGACTTTCCTTGCTAATAATCTACTTCTTGTGACCAGTGTCCTTCCTTCTAAGCTTGACAATGTCCCTCTCAGACCATTTGCTAAGCTTGATCCCCAAAATGTCAAGACCATTCATGAACCCAGAGATGCCCTGTACTTCAATACAGGCAAAATTCCACAGCGTTTCTGCCAAGAAAGAAGCCACCTGTCAGTGTCCAAATAAAGAATTTTGGGGCCCTGTGCACAGTGGCAATTGAGGGAACCCCACCTTCCCTGTCACCAGGTGGATGGGAGGACCAGGGAGGGTGTTGGAGAGCAAGCCTCCAAGCACTCACCCTGCAGTGACTTCAGTCCTTTCGTGCTGGTGCAGCTCCCGACTCCTGTTTTTCTGGCTCTTTCCACAGTATGTAGGTAGGACCCTCCCCTGCCCCCTCATTGTGTGTGTGTGTGTGTGTCCTGCGGTGGGAGCCCTGTGCAAGTGCACTGAGTGCCTTTGGTTAATCTGGGCTCACCTTTTATAGCCATCTTCATGACATCACTTTGAAACTTGCTTTTTAAGCACACGGCATATTAAAGAATGCAGTCCTTATGCAGACAAAATTCCCACTGAAATAAATGCATCTGCATGAGAACTACAAAATCAAGTCCAAAATCAGCATAAAAACTTGACACAGTATTGCATTGGGTTAGTCACCTTTTGCCATTGCTGTAGAAAAAGGAAAATATAGTCCTTTTATATATTGCTGTTTTATGAAGTGTATGGCTATCTCCTGTTTTCTAAGGTGTTATAAGAAGTTACAAAATAGCATTTTAGCTTAGGATGCAGGGATATTTACAAAAGCTACAGTTAAACTAAACAAGTTTGCAATCCATTTCAAAGTGTGTATCTAAAGTATTTTACAAATGCAAAGTAAAAAAAAATCCATGGATACCTGTTAGTTATCTATTCTAATAGTGTATTTGTTCCAGTCCTTCTTCCCCCATTACACGTTTTTTCTTACAGAAAGATGCCTTCAATAGAATTTCTGCTCACTAAGAAATGCAGCAGGACTCCAGTTCCTGAAACCATTGTACATTCACCATTATTTAAAAAAAAATCTAAATCTATATGCATAATAATAAATAAATCTTTGTACATAGACAGTCATTAAAGAAAACCCTGGTTAAACTGTTCTTTTTAGATTACATAATTAGTTACTTTAAAGTTCACAAAAGGTGCCAGTCTATTTGACAGCCCTGGAGAATTGTATCAGACATAATATATCTGTTGCAAACAGCTATAGTAGCAATAATGGGAAGTACCCTGATTATCCTGCCCTAATTTGTAAAATCTATCATGTCTCCCCCCTAAAAATTTAAAACGTTTTTGTATAAAAAAAAGGTATTCCCTTAAGACTAACCAATTTATTTGAGCATTTCTTTCCCTTCTAACAAATATCCCTGATCCACTCAGTTTCAGTTTTCTCCCAACCCTAGAAGTGCTATGTGGTTCCAGATATCTGCCTCAAACCTCACATGTATTCGGCTCTGATCCTGCACTGAGAACTGCACAGCAGGTGGACCCTGATAACTGAGTGGAATCCCATGAAAGACAATGGGTCTGTGTGCAGACACAGAGTCTACCTACATAGTTTCTCAAAAGAGCCTTACCTTATAGTGGGCCCTTCAAAACACTATACCCTGTAGGGCTCTTGCTTAACCCTCAAGTATGACAGTTGGAGCAGTGCTGAAGAGGTCTTCATCATGCAGTAAGCTAATTAAGGTGGACAAAGAGTGGATCAGCCTGGCAAACTTACTGTACATGGAAGGTATCAAATGGTGGCCATTTTTAAATGTATGTTTAAAGATATCACTGACTTGTAATGTAAGAAATCTTTATATAATATTATTTCATTCTACAATAAAGGTTGATGTCAATGTATTATTTAATATGGACCTTCTGTTTAATTGGAAAATAGTTGAAGATATTGACTTTTGCCCCAATCCTGCAAGTTGCTCCACAAAGGCAGATCCCTGTACTTATGTAGAGTTGACTCAACAGGGCTCCTATTCTGAACAATTTTCACAACTGGGACCCTAAATGGAGTTCTGTGGACCTAGAGGGTCCACTTACCTGGAACTCAATGCAAGATCAAGGTCTCAGATGCTGTTAATTGAATGTTGTCTAAAAAAGTTCTATAAACAGGTGTTGGAAATATATTCTCTATTTCTTGCTAATAGCATAGGTGTACCAGAAGACTGAGAATACGAAAGATTAAGTAATACAATTCCCTGTTCTTATTTTCCTCCTGTTATGAAGACATACTAAGCTTCACTCATTTGAGAAGGGAAATGCCTCATTTTGGATTGATTTAAAGGTTAATTTTTAAAACAGGTCTTTGATGAAAAATGATTTTGCAGTGTGTATATGGGTCCCTGACAGGTGAGTACAGTGCACATGACCCTCTCCCCCCGCCCCCACTTACCCCCCAAAAAACACCCCACATACAAACAACAACAAAAATAACTCTGTGCTGGAACTAAGCACTGGCCCTGCCTAAAAACCCATCATTAACAGCACAGTTGGGCTTGTTTTAAAATCACTACCTGGTATAGTTGGTCTAGCAGGGAGTCAGGCTGCACGTTTGACTCCATAGCTATTTTTTTATTTTTTCAGCTCAAAGGGGAACATAGAGCTGAGAAACTTGAGGTGGGACTGGACTGTCCCCTCCAATTTTCAGTCCCTCTTAAAAGCTATGTTTCTGCTTCCTAAGAGAACAGTTGTCCTGCATAGAAAATCCTTGTTCCTCTTCCCTTACCTCTGTCTCTCTGTTCTTAGGCTCCAAGCGCCGCAGGGCAGGGGCCCATCCCTTCTCTTGCGTATGAAAATCACCTAGCACTACTCACACAACATGGGAAATTGTTTACAGGCTCAACAGCATCTTTATAAATACACAACACAAGGACTCAGAGTGGTAGCCGTGTTAGTCTGTATCAGCAAAAACAACAAGGAGTCCTTGTGGCACCTTAGAGACTAACAAATTTATTTGAGCATAAGCTTTCATGGGCTAAAACCCACTTCATCAGATGCATGGAGTAGAAAATACAGAAGCAGGTATATATACATAGTATATGAAAAGATGAGCATTGCCTTATCAAGTGGGGGGTCAGTGCTAACGAGACAATTCAATTAACAGTAGAATACCACGGGAGGAAAAATCACTTTTGTAGTGGTAATGAGGGTGGCCTGTTTCAAACAGTTGACAGGAAGGTGTGAGTAACAGTAGGGGGAAATTAGTATAGAGAGCTTGAGTTCTTAGTACAAACTCACCCGTATAGGGAATCTGGAAATAAAACATCAGGAAATGATAAATGCAGGAGTCAAAAAAACCCAACCAAACAAAAAAGTCTGTCAGCTTCGGTGCACATGGTCCTTAAACCATGCTCCCGCCCCCGCAGCGTGGGCTGGCTGGTGATAGTGCCTGAGGGGTCCTCGCAATTCGTCAAACCATCCGTCTTCTATGGATATGTCTACAAAAAAATCGGTACTAGGCCGTGATTCACTTTTGAAGTTCGCTATAAAGAGGCGAGGAGGCGCCATATGGCGGGAGGCTGTGCTTTTCAGTCAGGCATTACAGCCGAGAGCTCCCGGGCCGGGCGAGCGGGCCGCGCCTGCGCGGTGGCTATTAAAGGGGTGAGCGGTGGGCGCTAGAAAGCCCCGGTTACGGTGGCTGAGGAGAGACAAAGTGCGAGAGTCGGGCAAATCGGGAGAGGGCGCGTGAGCGAGCGAGCTGGAGAAGGGAACGGAGAACAGTGGGGGAGTAGCGGCGGCGCGAGCCGGGGGCGGGCAAGCGGCCGGGTGGGGAGGGAGCCGTGTGTGGCGAGCGCGGCGCGGGGCGCTGCTGGGGGGGAGGGGAGAGAAGCCGGTCACTAGGGCTAAGTAACGCCGCGGGCGGCGGCAAGGCCTTGTGTGGAGCTGAGCGCTCTGGAGGGGACCTCGTCCTCTGCACAGTGAGTATCCTCTTGGCCGGGGCTGGGGCCGCCTACCGCCAGGTGAGGCGTTACCTGCCGCTCGCCACCGGTTTGTTGGTGGCTGGGCCTAGTAAGACCGGGCGGCCCTGGGTCGTCTTTTCTCCGTCCCCATCCCAGACGAGGGCCTCCTATCGCGGTGAGAGTCAGGTCACCCATGGGGCAGATGGAGAGGGCGGGGGGGCTGCTCTGTCTCGTCTTGCCAGCCATGAGCCTGGGGCCCTCTCTCTGCCTTGTCCGCTGTCTAGGCTTGCCCACAGCCCCTTATTACGAGGGGCAGCCCCTATTTTTTCCTCTCTGTACAATAAGAGCACTGCAAAAAGCAGCAAGAAGTATCTCTGGTGAATATAAGTGGTGTTCACAACAATATCGATTATGATAATATCGGGAAGAGAGGTGGGGTAGGGGTGCTAAGAAAACTGGTCTGTATTTTTGAAATACAGAGTTGGCAACCATACAGAAACAGTGGCACTGGCTCTCTGTGTAGGGCTCTGTTGGCTCTGCAAGCCATGGCTTGGAGGCCCAGGCCCCTCCATGGTATGCCTGTGTGTCTACTGTCCTGCATGCCACAAAATGGGGTGCAAGTGGCTGTCATGGCCAGGTGGCATAGGCATCTAGGACTTCCCTGCCTGAGGGAGAGGGCTTCCTATCCAATCTGTCTTTTTCATTTCACGAACTTCCCTTCTGTACTCTGGTTCTGTCCCTGTAATAATCTCTGTGTTAAAGCTGCTTAAGAGCTGGGTCTCTGAATTACAAAGGAGTCTAGGCTCCTATGATTGATTGATTAATTAATATTTGTTCTAGAGCTGTTAGTTAAGATATTTTACAACCAGTTATAGTTTGGAGGCACAAAACAGCCAGCACATCAAACAGTAAAAATATCTTTTGTGGAATGTAATTTCTTATGTTAAATGTAAATTGATGACTGTTCCATGGGCAGTAAGGAAGGTGTACACCATAAAGCCTTCAGCTGTGTTGTCTATTTTATTAACATAATTCTTTTTTAATCAGGTCCATAGTCAAAGGCTTTCAAGGAGCCATGGATAAGAGAGGGGCTATAGCAGAAATTGAAAATGGGGACACTTTCCTTGACTTGAACAGAATAACAGTAAAATCTCATCGTTACACAAAAGTAAGCTAACCTTTTTCTTTAAAAATTGTATGAATTCAGTGTTTATGAAACACTTAAATGGATTAAAAGTGATCAATTTCAGGAAAAAAAAGTCCTACTTTCCTCCTCCTCCTCCTGGTCCAGAGTAGGATTTGAAGGTGTGTTATAGCTATATATTAGCTTAAACAAGGAATGCTGTCTTAAATGGACACCATCACCTCACTGTAGTATCTGTGCCCCACAACATGTGCTAAACTGATCAAGTTGAAGCCTATGCTTGCCCTCCACTATGCTTTAAAATGTGTTGGCAAATGTGATGCATAACATGTCTTAAATTCTAGTCTGGTCATGGTCCAAATAGACATCATACCAAACATGGAGGAGAGTCCTTCTAGGAGGAAGGATAGTATAGTCTCCTTGGAATGTTTAGTTCTCATATGGATAGCTGTATCAAACTTGGCTTGTAAATACATAGATGCCTTGTGCAGTGAATGCAGTTTCAGGACTTATGAAGTGAGTTCAGTTGTGAAGCAGGGGAAAGCTGAGGCCCTACATAAGACAGGAACAGATATTTAATTTTGGAAGAAACTTTCAAGTATTGACACTGTCTAGATATGGCTTAAGCTTTATAGTTCTCACCATACTCTTATTGGTTCATGCACTTGCAAACTATATCCAATTCTTATATATTGGAGAAACTGGTAGCCCGCTTCTGCTAATGTTGGTATTCTGCATTGGCAGCATTGCTGAAAGTGTTTGCTTCACTGTGGGAAGACATGAGGAAACTCTTTTGTTTACTGTGGTGATTAGGATTTAACCATGTTGGGTGCTGTGCAAACAGATTAAAAAGATTGTTCCTGCCCTGGAAAGTTTACAATCTGAATATAAGACAAAGCCCAACAAGTGGGCTTAATAAATAAAAGGATGCAGTTAGAGGAGAATGCAGTTACATAAGCTAGGTAGTATATGATGTGAGTTGATTCCATTACTCTCTTGAAAGTATGTCTCCATTTTAAGAAATAGACTTTTATTAATCTCTAAGGTTTTTGCAAGTTTGCTCATCTCCGTTAAATGAAAGCCTAGCTTCTTTCAGCATGCCTTCTAACACTGACTCAAAACCTATTTTTATAGATATATATATTTAAAAAAAAATTAGGAACTAACAAGATGTGTACAAAGATCCTTACTTTTTGTAAGACCTGGGCTCCTTTTACCCTCTATCTGTATTGGTTTTACTTGTCTGCAGATCACTGTGCTCTGTTATGTATAATATGTTGTCATTCTTTCCCATGATACAATTAACTTCAAGTGAGGGACTGAATTGTTGGGATGAGGCAGGGTTATTGGTGGCTTTACAGCAGTAATGACTTGTCAACTTCCAAAACAATTTTTTTGAGCACGGAGGTGCAATTAAGCTGCTTAATCTTGTGCGTGTCTTCCCCTCAATCTTTAGTTCTGCCAGTGTGCCCAGTCCCCTTTGGTATTAGGTTTCTCAGTAGTTTGAGATGGCCGGTGGGGGGGGGAATGCAAAGTATAGCAGTTTTCCCTAAGACTGAGTACTGTATGAGGCTTCCTTCAGATTCTGGTAGATGCATATCATTTGTTTGGCCTGAGGTGGCTGATAGTCAACGAGGTACATCTTGCCCAAAAGCTAAATGGGTGCCTCTGTCTTGCTCCCAGTTCCTACTGGCATGGGAAACAAAGATCCAAGCTTTGGTCCTCAATCCTGATATGTGGGACCTAGACTGCTAATGCCCTGGAGTTTCACTCCTCTGCCTCAGGAGTGTGCTACCACTGCTTCTGTGTTCCCTGAACCAACAATAGTAATGATATATATGTCTGTGCCCCTAATTTTGATCAGGATGCAGTTGTTAAACTAATGGCAGGATACTTCTAGTCTCACTCAACTGATACTGCAGTTTTAGTGGCAATTGACATCTGTCCTGAGGTTAACGTTTCTTGTAATTTCCTCACTTTGTGAGCTTTTTTTAAAGGGTTATCTGTTCTCCTAAGTAAAAGGATTGGTTCTAGGGTTTAGCCAGAGCACCTTAAATGCATATAAAAAAAAATGATTCAAGTCACCAGATTCCAAACTAGTCTGAAGCACCTATGGTCCAGAACACCTAGTGGTGGTTTGTGGAGAATGGCTATTTATTCTCCCTGTTTCCAGCTGCTAGGAGCATCGTTCAATGTGATTTTAATATCTACTGTGTAAACAGTCACTGCAGAGCTATTACATAATTAGAAAGTGGGAGGGCAGTTGGTCCACACCATGAAAGCTTGCAAACCCTTTGATCTAATTTTTTTCAAAAGGTGACCAGTCTAAGTTTTAGAACTAAAATGTAGCTTTTTAGCAATATTTAACACTTACAATTTGTGTTCCAAGTGCTGTGCAGATACTAATCCTCACCATCACTAACAGAAGTGGAAGTGTTATTCCCACTTCATAAATAAAGTGCATCTCAAAGGCCGCATAGTCAGTCACTGAAAGAGCCTGGTCTAGAACACACATTCTCCTGACTAACAACCCAAGGCTCATTATTATAGCTTATGGTGTCTCATGCTTTGTCTAAACCAGTGAACTAAGTAGCTGCTTTTGAACTTTCCATTTGTAGAGAACTTGGCCAACTTACACTGTTCAGGCCTGGTCTACACTTAAAATTGAATTGTAGATTTTTTTATTTTTATTTTTTGCACTCCTGAGCAACATAACTATGTTGACCTAACCTCTAGTGTAGATGCAGCTAATTCTTCCATTGACCTAGCTACTGTCACTCGGAAGTGGTGTTCCTACACTGATGGAAAAACCCCTTGTGGAGATGCAGCCTGCACCAACAGTACAGGATTATGCAGCATAGTTGTGGTGCTATATAGTTGTGCATTGCTATGGATGTTACCCAGTTGGCTAGACAATCTTTGGCTGACATCTGCTCTAGATATCAAGTCCTATATTTGGGATGGTCTTGCTGCACTCAAATCTTCGTTCCTTAGGTAAATAAGGTACAGCTTTTCAGCCCCAGGTGTGTTTTGGTATTTCTAATTTGCTTAAACTTAATAGTGGCTGTCAGATGGCTCAACGCTTTTTTTTTTTTAAATCCACTCATCACAAGCCTCAAACTTATTAAAAAAAAACATAAGAATGGCCATATTGGGTCAGACCAGTGGTCCGTCTAGTATCCAGTCTTCCACCAGTGGCCCATGTTTCATAGGAAATGAACCGAATAGGGCAATTATCAAGTGATCCATCCCCTGTTGTCCAAGCCCAGCTTCTGGTAGTCAAAGGTTTAGGGACACCAGGGTGTGCAGTTGCATCCCTGACCATCTTGATTAATAGCTATTTATGGAGCTATGCTACATGATCTTATCAAATTATGTTTTTGAACCTAGTTACGCTTCTGATCTTCACCACATCTCCTGCATTAAGTTCCCTAGGTTGACTGACTGGATTGTGTGAAGAAGCACTGAATCATTAAATGCTAGGGAGAAGTTTCCTTTTCAGGCTAGCTTGGTGCTGCACGTCCTGGCTATTGCTAGGATCCCTTTATTCTTCTGGCTCCTTCTTGCTCAGTATTATCAGTTTGTCTCCCTGATTCCTGAACAAAAATGACTCGGGAGGGAATAGGGGTAATCAGAAACCAACACCGTCAGTGCCACAGTGATGTAAATTGCTGTCCAAAGAACTGATGCTGCTCCTTTGTGCTTTAAATGGAGCAAATCAGAAAGATGATGGCTGGTCTTCTAGTTTATCTTAAAGGTAACTTCAGAAAGTATGCTGTAGTAGACGTTTTTTATTTGAATCCTAATAGTAAAGGGGGAAAACTTAAATGTGTGGCATATTTATTCTACCCAATGCTGAATTATGAATAACTATTGTACAATATCCACTTATAGTATAAACAGTATATCTAGAGGGGACTCCGTGCTATTTGGAGCAGGGGGAGGCAAACTTTTTGGCCCTAGGGCCACATTGGGTACAGAAATTGTATGGAGGGCTGGGTAGAGAAGGCTGGGGGAGGCTATGCCTCCCCAAATGGTGAGGCATGGCCTGGCTCCTGCCCCCATTCCAGCCTCCCAGAACTCCCACCCAACACCCCCCGCTTCCCACCCCTGACTGCCCCCCAGGACTCCTGCATGCTATCCAAACACCTCTGCTCTCTGCCCCCATCCAACCCTCCCTGCTCCCCCCACCCCATGTTACCTGTGGTATGGGGGAAAGGGGGGCTCAGTCCTTTCCCTGTGTTTCTCCTGCTCATTTGGCTGCTCTCCCTGGCAGTCAGGCAGAGCTCACTCCCTGTCTGGGCTTTTCTGCTGGGGACAGGGGCCAAGCATTTGGGGGGGGGGGGGAATTGCGGTTGCTCTACCTCTGTCCCCGGCAGCAGGGTCCAGGCCCCTTGACCACCCCCTTGCTCCTCGCCTTCTTCCTTCTCCTCCGCCCCCCCCCCCCCGGCCAACTCCTCCTGACTGCGCTGCCCTGGAGCACCAGGTCTGGCCGCGCTATAGCTGTGCTGGCCAGAGCTGCAGCCACACTGCCCAGGGGCTGGGGGGGACTGTGACTGGGAGGGAGGGGTCGGGGCTAGCCTCTGCCCCGCTCACCATGCTGCAGGGTGTTGGGCTGGCTCCTCTGCAAGCCTGTCCTGACCCCACTCCCTGGCAGGAGCTCAGGGCCCAGAGGGAAGGGTCCTGCAGGCTAGATGTGGCCCAAGGGCCAGTTTGCCCCCCTCTGGTTTAGAGGAATGACCAGGTTTAGGTTAAGGGCTTCCGAATTTTACTCACTGCTCTGCCTCCATTTAATCATAACATTGGGATAAAGCTTGTCTGCTTCACAAGAGTGACTAATTGTTTAGTAAATATTTTCACAGCACTTCGAACATCAAATTTTAACATAACTGTAAACCTAGCATGACAATTACTTTCCTGCCTTTTTACAATCACTGATGATACTAATATTTTCCCCAGCAGGTAAAGGAGTAAAATTTTGCAAAGCTTTTATAAAAACACTTACTTATGTAGTACTGTACTTGCTGTAGTAACACAAGTTTCACAACATGCTGCAACTAAGAAAATATGGGAGAACCTGGAAACAAGTTGTAGCTCCACGTGAAGGAAAGGCATCTCATGTCCACTGTAACCTTGTTTCTGGCTGAGTAAAACCATACCTCTAAGTTTAGATACTAATCTACCCCTGTGTGACTGGAATAGCTGTTTTCACACATTTCACAACTAAACTTAAACATTGCAGTAATTAAACATTTGAAAAGTAATAGGCTAAAAACTTAACTTTATTTTTAGCTGGTATACAGCACCATGACTTGAAATTTTATGTGGAAGCTGGGGAATTGCCCAGTAACTGAATGAGTAAAAATTATTTGTAAATTGACTGGTGATGCACTCAGTCCATCCTTTAGGATTTTTTAGCATTAGTTTTCTTTCAGACATTCAATGCTAAACATCTGAAGGCAAGGATTCTTCATTCACTATTCTCAAATGTGGTTTAGAACAGCTTTGGGATTCCAGAATATGTAGTATTTTAATTCATTGTGACACTCTCTCCCTTTTTTCAGAGTAAACTATCTACTTGCCAATTAGCTTTCAAAAGTTTAACTAGTAAAAAGAGCTCCTCTTGACCTCTCAGGCCATGTCGATCCTATAGCACCCATGTCAGAATAGCCCCATAGTGTTGGATGCAGCTTACACAGTGTATCCTGTATCGGTTCAGGATTTGTGCCATTTTTTAAATCCTTTTAATGTGCTTCAGCAGAGGGGTATAACTGGCCTCGAATTATTCAAGGATTTTTATCTCCTAAATAAATTTCTGGTCCACTTAAAAATTTAAGTCTTAGAGTTTCTTGCAATTAATGAAGTTTCACTACCACTGCTTCTGTCTTCATTAACTTTGAATTTGTATGTTCCAAACTCTAATTTTTTGCATTACCATGGGATGTGACTTATTTGCTCCTAGCATCAATAGCGCATAATTGGTTTTAAAATAGCTCTGAATCCTCTGCTTCAACTCTTCACGTTAAACTCAGTTCTCTGAACAATTTGTTCAGTCAGCATCATAATGGTCAGAAAGGCATGGTCTCTCAAAGGATAAGCAATTTGAAAGAGTTCCCATTGGATTGGCTTGTGGCAACATTGTACAACCTAATGCTTAAATTTCTGACAATCCCTTTCAACAATCTCATTTCACTCAAGCCTGCCCCAGCATCGAGACAAAGCAGCTTGTTGTTGCTCTTGATCAAACTGAATCTGTCAGCAAACCTAATGTTATCCTTTGTTTGGGAATGCCATCTGCCTGATATCTGTCTAATGTTGCTTTTCTGGAATACTAAGCTATCACTTGTGTCAATAGGCAGAGAACCCTTAAATTCCAGTGAAACTTCTAAGACAGATCTGTATTGATTCTTGATGTATATAGTATAACTTAAAGGTTTATGTGAAGAAACAGCACAGCAATTGGTATTTCTACATTGTCTTGCTTCAAATTGACACTAATAGCAAATCCTACAAGTACCCAAAATAGACCTGTTGGTAGAATCTTTCAAGTATTGCAGTAATAATTGAATTGTACTTTGAACAAAAAACAGATCAATAGTTTGGGAAAACCATTCAGATTAGTTAACTTCATCTATGATATTTAAATAAACCTGTATGCTTTGGAACAAGTTTTTTGCTTTCTGTTTATATCCTATCCAAGTGAGAGTCAGAACTAACTTGCATCTTTTCCTTTCTAGGAAGAACTCTTGGATATTAAAGAGCGTCCCCACTCTAAACAGAGGCCTTCATGTCTTTCTGAAAAATATGACAGGTATGTTCTGGTCTTAAAATAAACTTGACTATATTTAACTGGATAATCTTTTTAAAAATTCCACAAGAAAAATCCTTAAAGTACTTTTAAAAGTATGTTTATCTTAAGTCCCCTACCAAGGCTTGTTTTAAGCTAATGCCTTTCAGAAAATAGAAGTAGTGTGGGGTAGTCTGAGCAAAGTATCTTCAGCTCTATAGCTGGTATCTATACTACTCCTGTGTATGTTGACATGGTGCATAAACAATTTTTACCGATTTCTTGGCAACATATAGCATGAGTTGTTATGGCAACTTTGATTTCTCATTTCCTTCACTTTAAGATTGAAGGCACATGAATTTCTGGCTTGAGCAAATCATTCATGCTACAAGAAGAATCTGTATAGTGGTCAGATTAGTGTCTTAACCTGCCTCATAGGCAAATGACAAAATTGTAATTGGTGTGAAAGGAAGCCCTGTTAACACAACAAGATTGGAAGAGAACAAATCTTATTCTTGGAAGATAAATTGGGGATGGAACTGTCAAGTGTGAACTCGATGTTTCATACAACTTTGCATATCTTGTGTTATCTTTATACTGATATTTGATGAACTCTTCCACATTTTGCTACCTTCATAAAGATATCTAGAATACCATGTAAATGGACCAGTTTGAGGTAGGAAACGTCAGAAACACAGATCACTAGTCTGAGTGCAACCCTTCTCGCTTAAGTATTACTGTAATGGATTAGTGGCTTAAAGTACATCTTGTCTTTGTTAAAGTGAGCACTTTCTTTAAAAAGGGTTTTGTAATTTTATTTTCCTAGTGACGGAGTGTGGGACCCTGAGAAATGGCATGCATCTCTGTACCCAAGTTCAGGGCGAACCTCACCAGTGGAAGGGTTCAAAAAAGACTTGGATTCAGACCGGACTTCTCTCATGCGCAGGATAGTTGGTGAGTGCACCATTTTTACAATATGGGGTGCTCAATAAGAACCTAGGATAGTAGTAAAATTATTCCCTCATGGTTTACAGTGGTGGTATAAAACTGAATGAGGGAAGTGTTAGATATAATCCTGAAGGAAAGAGGTCTAAAACTACAACTTCAGCAAAATCTCAGTTGCTTTAGCAACAGTGGGAGTGCTAGTGTAGACTGGCCACTAGTATTCTTATCACTGTGTAATTACCTTGTTCTGTTCCCTCCTCCCCCCCCCACACACACACAAATAAAGCACCAGCTGCTGGTCTATTCTAGTGCTTTTACTAGTGGAAATACACTATTGGATTTCCCTGTAACTGTGTTTGAAGTTAAGGCCTCAAACTTGGCTAGGGCATTAAAGGCAGTAATTCCTCAATGTCTGTCTAAATTAATAAAACCCCTCCATATTCTAGTTTTGCGTTGATCTTTTTGGATATCATTCCATCAATATGATAAATTATAATGTTTCACTTCTCCTCATGCTTTTTGTGGCAGTACTTTGAGGTTAGATTCAAGCAAGGAACCACTTGAAAATGATTTATGGCTTTATAGACATGAATTAGATATAAACCATTTTAACTTAAACACTTTGTGTTTCTCTAGGTATGGGGAAGAAACATCCATTTTCAAGTACTTGTAGCTAAAACTGGAGTATATTCCAGTGTTTTACAAATGGGCTCTGTAATGCCACTGGCTACTTGTCCAGCTTTCATGTTAATCTGTTCTCAAAATAACACAGCTTCTCTAGAATACTACTCTTGCAATCTGCAGATCCTAGGGAGCGGGTGAAAGAAGATGATTTGGATGTAGTCCTAAGTCCCCAAAGGCGGAGCTTTGGAGGAGGCTGCCATGTGACTGCAGCTGTCAGCTCACGTCGAGCAGGGAGCCCTTTGGAGAAGGAGAATGATGGTGTTCGTGTTGTTGGTGGACGTAGGATTGGAAGTGGAAGAATCATCTCTGCCCGCAATTTTGATAAAGACCACCGGGGTGGTGAAAAGGACATGCGTGATTCTAGAGACACAAGGGACAGAGATCGTGAAAGGGACTACAAAGACAAGCGTTTCAGGGTTTGTTCTCATGACTGTTTTCATAATAAATTTAATGATGGGGTGGTCTCAATCCCTGGTCTTTCAAATGAGATGATCAACTGTGGTGGCTTCTGGTATTATCCATCTACTAGATGAGCTTGATTTTAAGCTTCCTTTTTACAGCTGTTAGATGGTGGTAACTTTTATGGCAATAACCTGAGTGAGTGAAACAGACGACTCAGGAATTTTTGGTAGTTCTGGTACCCCAAAAGTTTGACAGTTCTTGCTCCATCAGAGTAGAACCCTGCCTAGTGTATATTGTTATCAGAAAGCTGAGTTAATGTGTCTTGAACAGAATTTTTTCTTGTCTGTAGAAGGTGACATGCTCTCTTGCCATAGTTCTCTTTAAGAAATCCATTTCATAATTTAATTGGAAGCTAAGTTTCTTACCCACCATTAGGAAGTGACTTGTGCCCTGAAATATGAACAGTGTATATATCTTCCAAAACTTGGTTTTAATCCTTAGAGCAACTGTGGATATTAATATAGGTGTCCAGTCCTGTTAAGCTCTTTACCTCCATGGTATCTTAGCCTGTGGAACTCATGCTCCTACAAGGAGCCACATATTAACTTCTGGAGAGCAGCATGCAGCTCCGAGCCACAGGTTGGCCATCCCTGAGCTAACTGTTCATTGTGTGGAAAAGCATTTTCTTTTGGCTGTTAAATTTGCTGCCTTTCAGCTTCAATAAATGTTCTTGTGCATTTGATTGAATGTATTCTCTTAAGTAGGATAAAAGATAACTATATGGAATTGTAAAGTATCACGGGAATCTAGATTAGGTCTAGTGCTCTCATTGGTTTGAGAGAATGTGTTTAATGATTCTGCAATACTAAATTGGGTGATGTTGCAAATACAGCTGACACAAGTAATACAAAGGCCCAGAGCCATGAAAAATGGGCAGAAAACATTCTCCTTGAAAGTGGGGAATACAAACTAACATATCTGGGGAACAAGTTTGCATTGTAATGTGGTAACAAACAGGGTGGATTTAAAAAAACTTTTTTAAATAAACCTAGTTAATTTGAAAAAGGCAACTTAACTTAAGGTTTAAACTTACCAATCATTTTAAGTTAAATAAAAAATAAGCATGGTTGCTGCCAAGCTTTAAAGGAAGTAGAAATGCTGGACTGGTGGAACTTGCTGGGTAAGCATCTGGAACCAGTTTGTTTGAAGTGCTAAATCAGCTTTTGACCATAAAAGCTTATGAAGATTCAGAGAACACTTTGAGTTTATTCAGGTAGTTCAGTTGAATGACTAGTTGGCTCCAAGTTATGGCGAGTTGAAAAAGCAGGAAAGCTTGTGTTTTTTTCTCTCCCAATCTATGGATAAAATCTGGGTGTCAGAGGATACAATTTACTAGTTAGAAAATGTTAAAGGAGATAGTAACCAAAAACAAGCTGTTCAATTTGTTAACTAAAGATCATATTTCCATTGTTTAATAAATCAGTTTTAAATGCCAAACATGTTTGGATAAACTTTGATTGTGTATCAGCACACTTGAGCTTTGCTTTATAAATTCAATTAAGCATAAAACCAGCATTTTAATTTCCATCCAAATACAGCTTAATACAAATCACCAGGAAAATTCTTTATCTAATAAATAAATGATGTACTGTTTTCTAACAAAATAAATGTGGTGTTTAGATACCAAATTTAGTGCAGAAGCTATATATAGTTGCAAATCAGCATATTAATGGTTACCAACCAATGAGAATCAACCTTTCTTTCATAAAGAAACTAATCCTGTTTTTCTGTTCTTTAAAATTGATTTAAATCCAGGTTTCCTGCTTGCTGATTTAAATGGTTGACTTGAATCACTCTGATTCAAATCTAGCAAAAAAGCCACACAATTTTAGGGCGTCGAAGTATGTTGCTGCAAAGTGAATAGTTAGATGAGCTATAGTCACACTACTAGGGCCAGACAAAGTACCTCATTACCAGAAGTATGTTGACAAGAGCAACAAATGATTAGGGGATGGAGAATAAGAACTAAACATATAACTCATCAAAACATACTAGGGGAATGTTACTGTGTGTACTCTTTTTTTTGAACATCTGTATAAATACCATGGGGTACAGGTCAGGGAAGAGTTCTAAATAGTTAACCTAAGTAGGAGTATGAGAATTAAGAGTAGGTGATAGGACTTAAGTTCAATTGTATACAGTTTACAAACTAATAGATCTTGCTTTTAAGTAGCAGAAGCTCACTGATCTACTTAAAATTGGATAGAGTGCTAAAAAGCATACTGATTCCATTGGCAGGGAGATGCATTAAAAGATCTCATAGGTTCATTCTATCTACAATTTCTCTAGTCTGCAAACATTTAAAATAGAACTGTTGCTTGTAAACCAACAGGAAGAAAACAAACTCTTGAGAAACATACAAATTACCTTTCTTTTTTCTGATTTCCTTCTCCATGCTATAACTACCAACTTCAGAGGGAATTTGGGGATAGTAAACGTGTCTTTGGGGAACGTAGAAGAAATGATTCCTACACTGAGGAAGAGCCAGAGTGGTTCTCTGCTGGACCTACAAGTCAGTCTGAAACCATTGAGCTCACTGGATTTGATGATAAAATATTAGAGGAAGATCATAAAGGACGAAAACGAACAAGACGACGCACAACCTCTCTGAAGGAAGGTATGTAACAAGCAAATTGGAATGGCAAGAGGAGTTCTCTTGGACTTAAAGCTAGAAGGCAAACTTTGTCTGGTAATACTAAAAATAGTCATGACAAATTGTAGCCTTACCTATTAAATTATGGACAGGTCATGGGCAATAAACCAAAATTCAGACAGCCCATGACCTGTCCCTGACAAAATGAGGAGGGTCCAGCACCATACATCAGCTGGGGATGGGGGACCCTGGAGGGGGTCTCTGGAACCGTGACCTCCATGACATCATTGTAGCCTTGCTAATGGGTATATAGATAGGAAAACTAAATCAAATGTAGCAGTCTTGGATTTTTAACTTGGCAGCATTGAGGGCTGCAACTGTATTCACACTTCCCAAAAACCTCAGTCCTTCATTGAGTAATGATAAACTATATGGGTTGGAAAATGTGCATCCTATGACTTGGCTTCTGATCATTCTGAAGGACAGAACTTAAGGCCAGTTCTAACTATCATTTTTGCTGTAAAAATAACACAACCTTCTGGCAAATCTGGGAGTGTCATAATGTGGTGGTGGTCATGAGGTAACTAATGTATAACCTCTCAAGGGGGAGAAGATTGTAAGATTCTTACAGTAATACCTTTGCCTGGTGATCCTTTGGGATAGTATGCATTCTACCACCTGGACTACATCTGGCTTTGCTCTCTAGTCCTTAGATATTGCTTTGGTTGAAGAAGCAACCTTGGAAGCATCTCACAAATCTGAGAAGGCTGCCATGGTAGTGAGGTTGGAACAGCAGTATTCATTATCCTTTCCTAGCAGGAGCACTGGGCATGCTGCTTTAATAAAGTGTACTTCATGGCAAAATGCCAGGCCCACAGTGGTGGCCTTGTAGAGACCTGAGGACTTCCTAAACATGCCTGAAGTAAATAATAAACTCCTTACAACTCTGTGCTAACTTCTCTAGCAAACCACATAGCCATAATTAACTCAGAGAACTAAACTGTAGACATGACTGAACGGTGGGAGGAAATCATGTCTTCTAACCTTCGATAGAATAGGATTATTGCAGCTCTGAAAGGGACACAGTCAACTTTAAAGATCCATAGGAGATTTTTCTAATTACTATATGATACTTATGCATTTGACAGCACTACACACACTACTGCTTCTTCAGAGCACTCCTGTAAGGCATATAAGTCTCAGATGTTGTACAATAGTCTATAAACCAATAACTTTTTTGTTTGGTGGACTCTCAGAAAATATTTGAGAGGTTCTTGGTTGTTATCCCAATGATGGGACCATAAGTACCTAAATAGAATATTTATAATCATGGCAGATGCCAGTCCAGATGATGCTTGCCCTTACAGGAATGGCCCTCCCTGGAGGGAGAAAAGCAGCAGGAGCTTATCTTCCCCCACCTCAGACAAGGAGTGGCAGTTGCCAGCATAGTGCAGTGGGCTGAAGAGGCCACACAACTTGTGGACACTTTCAGTAACAAACATCTGGCTGTGTTTTTGGCTTTTGTCTATTTCTGTGGAGTAGGCAGGGTAAAGAAGTAGATACATGAGTAGCAATGATGCAGCAGGCTCATGGGGACACCTGAGAGAGACAGCTTGTGGCAATTCAGTAAAGCTGTTTAAAAATAGGATGTGTACCTCATTTATATAGTGATTGAAGTAGGTGAAACCAATTCTAAGATCTTAATGTCAGGGATTCTTGTATCTGTACAAAGCTTACTTTGCACAATGAGTCCCAATTCCTATTTGTGCTCTTTGGGTACTGATTGCAACATAAATTGGGTTAAATTCATGCAGTTAGCAAGATCAAAGTCTGGAACAAAAGCCACATCTGAACCCCAATCCTATGGATTAACCAGTAGATGATAATTCTCTGGTCTCTTAATTGGGAGCAATTAACTACGTACTTTTATTCTCAAAGGAATAGAATGCAATGGTGGAGTGGCAGAAGAGGATGAAGTGCAGTCTGTCCTTGCCCATGAAACTGCAGCAGATCAGGAAGTTCCCAGGGAAGCTGTTCTACAAGAACCAGCTCCAGGAGAGTTTGACTTCAATGAGTTCTTTAACCTGGATAAGAGTGTTCCTGGTTTGGCTTCGGTGAGTGAGGTTTTAGGCCAGGTATGTACATGTGGCAGAAGCACCATCTTTAGCTACTACTGTCTTTTTCTGAACTAAAATTACTTTTTTTTGTTATGGAAAAGTTTCTTGGTCCTTGTAAATACTGACGCTTTAAACAGTGAATATTCAAGATTTGGAGAAACTTTCTCATTCTGATTTTGTCAAATGAAGTCCATATTATAGCCCATTTAGTAAAACATTAAGATGTTGCTTCTAAAATGGCTTTTCCTTCTTGGATTACTATTTCTATCTGGGCTTAAAAGAAGCACTTAATATGTGGCACAACTTAATTCCTTTTTTCTCACCCTTTTGGTAAAGGTTGCATGAGTTAATATTATGGATCTCTTTTCTAGGAGTTCCAGAACACTGTATTTGCAGGGAATGGTTATGGTGGAGCTAAAGATTTCCCATCAACTTTTTTGGTTGGATTTCCTTAAGACACTGTACTTGGGTTAAAAATATAACTCACTGTCTCATTTTTCTAGTCTATTAGAATATATCCATCTTAATCATGGATTCTCAAACACTTCAGAATAAGAGGCAGACAACCTCTGAAAATTTGTACAGTAAAGGAAGAGCCTGTTAAAATCAGCCTTTGAAGATTGATTCAAATTGAATCCAGTTAATGGATTATATAGCAGATGTTGGGTAGTATTATGGATAAACTGACATGGGAATATGTCTCATACTTAGTTGACAGGGCTTATGGGCCAACATGGCTTCATCTTATAAGGAATGTCCAGAGGCACTGTTCCCTATAAAATGCAACTAACCAAGCCCCTATGGGAGGTAGAAGGATTATAGGCTGAAGGAGTATGAAGCTGTGCCAATAGCATTAGCCTGCCCTGTGGTTCTAGAAAATCTTCACTTAACTAGAACTAGATTCCTTTCTATAAGAAAATCTGGAGTAGTTACTGCATTTTGATAATGGACTGACAAAACAAGTAGAGAGGTTTTGATAGATGCTATGTTGCTGAGGTCCATAAACTGTAATTGGTCACTAAATCAATTTTGAAAGACACAACTTGTGGTGCAAATGGAAGTCAACTGTTAACAGTTTCAATACTGAATCACTTAGAACATAAGAACAGCCATACTGGGTCAGACCAAAGGTCCATCTAGCCCAATATCCTGTCTTCTGACAGTGGCCAATGCAAGAACAGAACGGGTAATCATTAAGTGATCCATTCCCTGTCACTCGTTCCCAGCTTCTGGCAAACAGGCTAGGGACACCATCCCTTCCCATCCTGGCTAATAGGTCCATTGGTGTACCTATCCTCCATGAATTTATTTAGTTGTTGGGGGTTTATTTGTTTTTAATCCTGTTAGTCTTGGCCTTCACAACAGCCTCTGGCAAAGAGTTCCACAGGTTGACTGCATTGTCTGAATACTTTTGTTTGTTAAAACCTGCTGCCTATTTCATTTGGTAGCCCCCTAGTTCTTGTGTACTGATGGACTTTATTTTGGCTTTTGACAGACAGAGGCTGCAGTGACAAGTAGTCTTGGCCTGCGAATCATGGTCCAATATCTTGTCTATAGACTGGCAAAATCCTCTTCCATAACTGTCTCTAGAAAGTCATAAACTGCAACTGGCCCATTTCGTTACAAGTTGCCTTTCCCTCAGTCACTGTGAATGAACTAGTTCTTGTGACTTAAGGACAAAATAAGTAATAGGCTGAAATGCTACTTCATAAGAGGCTAGTAATAGTAGAAATTACACATCCATATTTATCTCTGACCCTCCCAGCATTGAGCCAACTAAACTCCTAGGGAGGAGGAACAATTATTTTTCAATCCCAATTCACTGGTCAGAATTAGATCAGGTAATGTTACAGAAGGATTTGAAAGGGATAGTGAGCGAGTGGTGGTTTTCACTGGGGAGGGGGAGTAGAAATTTGTTTACTTGGAAGTGGAATTATTGAAACAAATTATCCTAAATAAGGAAGTGAGTGATTAGGCTGCAAAATGCAAACACTGGGGCTTGAAAATTGAGTCCTGGCTTAATGTTTTGTGTGGTGGGAACCAACTTTATTGCTAGATTTCAATATACCTACAGAATATACTTACCTACTTTACTCTGAAACCGTTACCTACTTTGTTATAAAGGTAACTTTCTAGTATAATGTACGGGAAGGCCTTCAAATGTTCTTAATGGTGCATCAAACTTAACAGAGGACAGGAATTTTAAGTCTATAGGGGTGGTGACAAACCAGATTGTCTGTCTGGTTTGTGAGCTTTCAGGATGATGCCTGTTTTTGTTTTTGTTCAAAGGCAGAAACTTCAGTGGCTGATTCAGTGACCACGTAGTAGGAAAACTAGTATTTCAGTTTTCCAACTACCTAAAAATTTAGAGTCTTATGCACAATGTTGTGCTCGAAAAGCTATTCCACCTATTAGCAGTTGTCCTGTCCATAGGCTTTCTTGTGACCATTATTTTCCCAGTTGTACCATATAGATGTATATGAAATGGATAAAGATTATACCTTTCTATAGAACTGTTAGACTGTTCAGGTTCTTCCAGCTCAACTTTTTTCAACTTTACATGTATGATCAAACGGAATCAAGATGCCAACCACAAGTAAATGGTTTCATGCTTGGCTCATCTGACAAAGAATTGAGTTTCTTCTCATCTTGGACTGAATGAAACACCAAGGAAATTAAATCAACAAAGCATTGTCTACACCGTGAATGAGGTCCCACACTGTGAGACAGTAAAGGTTGCTTGGGATAAACTTGATGCTCTTGGGACTCTGGCAGAGTTTTTTGAAAAATTAATTTTATACCAGTCAAATATGCATTAACTTGCAAAATGGAAGTGCTTTAGCTTATATTTAAAAGGTCCCTTGCCACATCGCTGCTTCTGAACTACTTCTAGCAACCAGTGTAGAACTGACAAAGTGGCTTATACTGACAATAGTGTTGGAATTGTACTTGGCTGTTTAGCTTCTAAAAAGCTTCAGTTGTTAAACGGACCGTCAGTAATCTCCAAGAATGAATGAACTCTCTACTGCTCTCTCTTCATTAGAGTAAGGTACTTCCTGTTTGCTACTTCTGCAAACAATATTTGACAGAACTGAAGGTGATTGGATAACCAACATGGTAGAACACAGGTGGTAGTATAAGCTTCCATACAGGGTCTTGTCAATATGCCTTTACTTCTCCTGAAGAACAACTTCTAAGTGTTAGAGTATCTTTCTTCACTGAGGCTTACCTCCTGTTTCTGCAGAAGATACTGTATTTTTATGTGGGCCCCTCTTCACTTGAACTCGTATAACCTGAGTGCTCATCATAGGTCATTGAGCCATGGAGTCAAGTATTAGCCCTTGGGAGAGTAGTTAATTTTTGGACCAATGACTGAAGATTCTGGCAATTGAATATTAATCTGTCAGCTGTTCTGGTAAAGTGGAATTTGCAATAATGGCTTAATCAGAGTTTCAGAATATAAAATATGTAACAGACTTCATTTTGTACAGATAGAAAATGCATGATTGATTATACCAGCACACTGGTTACACAGAAATATGGTACCCCTTCTGGGAGGGGGGGAAACAAATGATAGCTTAAAACCTACTTCAAATCCTAAATTCTGGGAGTGTAACATCAGGTCAGCAGCAGCAAAGGAATTTTACAAGTTACACAGTAAGTGTCCATCTTTCAAACCCTCCCATTCTTTCTTCTGTTAAGACTTTTGTCTAAAACTTTCTCTTTTCCCCATGATATAGATGATAGAAGATGTGCTGGGGGAAGGTTCGATGTCTTCTAGCAGGTTCAGTAGGTGGTTCTCTAATCCTAGTCGTTCTGGAAGTCACTCTAGCAGCCTGAGATCCACACCACATGAAGAACTGGAGAGGCTAGCAGGTAAAATTGTCTAACTTTTGTAGTGTCATTTAATCTCTGTACTCATGTCTCCACATTTTTCCCTATGCATTCTTTCAGTGAGAACGTGGTAGATAAGAATATACGGTAATTAACTTTTCCACAGTTTAATCATTCAAAAAATGTCCTTTTGGAAGCAGCTGGAGTGTACAGCTTTAGTCTCATCTGCAAAAGATCTCCTCACTTCTCACTGTATTTTCCAGCTGATCTCAGGCAGGGGGTGAGAGTCATGATTTTCAGTGAAGTATTAAGCTTAGTAGCCAGTATGTAGTCATCTTGAGACATTTAGTTGGTAAATTGATGTGGCAGTGCTCCTGGTTTTGCTGTTTCAGGTCTAGAGCAAGCAATTCTCTCCCCTGGCCAGAACCCTGGAAACTACTTTGCTCCCATTCCATTGGAAGACCATTCTGAAAACAAAGTGGACATCCTTGAGATGCTACAGAAAGCCAAAGTGGACTTAAAACCTCTCCTCTCAAGTCTTTCAGCCAACAAGGAAAAGCTTAGAGAGAGCAGTAAGTGCCTCTTCAGATATTGTGGAGTTCCTGTGGTGGCATTCTGGAAAACCTTTTGCCTTGATCTGGCAAACCTTGATTACTGAGGTTCAGAAGTAGGAAGTACTACAAGTTTACTTACACTTCAGAAAACCCACTGGCCCACAAATCTCAGTTATGTTGATTCCATCACTGACTCTTTCCATCCTAATCATAGGATGACATCAGCAGGATTTTCATCATGAACATGCTCATTAGCCTGTGCTACTTTAATACATCAAGATTGTGCAAATCTTGATGTATAAATGAGTTTCCAGCTTTACTGTTCCTGGCATCTAGACTGGTCTTCACATTAGACAGTGGTAAAATGTCAGCATTCCTAAACTTACTTGACACTTGAATTCCTATTATGCAGCTCTTCCTAAAACTTGCACCATGAGTTTTTTGCCAAGTACCTGTATGCTGGATCACAAAGTGATCCTGGGAGTCTCAGTATCTAAAATGGGACCAATGAATTTAAGGTGTATGCGGGCCCAGAGCAGCTTTTTCAGGTATATCTGGTAAAATTTCCCATAAACCATTTCAGGGAACTGTACCAACACTTCTGGCACAATAGTCTAAAAGTTCACTTAAGTCTTCAAAGAATTGTGGCTCATAAACACGTTTTCAGAAGCAGCTCTACTAGGGAAAACAACTCCAGTAGTGTAGGAATGCTACACGGATTGGAACTGACTTTTATTATTGTATCAATGTTAAACCAATATCTAATTAGGAAGGGAATTGTTTCCTTCCATAGTGCTTCTATTCTACTGAAGTCAGATACAACCTTTTCAATATTAATTATAGTAGATTCAGTGCCAGTTTTAACTAGGCACAGGTTTAAGTGCATGCATACACATTGCCAATTTGCATGCTCATTGGGCCTGTTGCATGTGCATATGCAAACAGAACATAAGTGCACATACTGTTGTGAAACTTGAGGTTTAATTGCCAAATCTTTCAATTGTATTGGCAAGCAGCATGTATTGCCATGTAAACTTTAAATTGCTGTGCTAAGCAAAACTTGAAATGCTGCCTGATATGAGTGATGGAAATATGGAGGAACAGGAATTCATCCAACAAAAGTATTGCAAACACTTCTGACCAGCATCCAGTTTGGGGAGCAGGAAGTGCCTGGTGAACATTGGAGGAAAGCTCTCCCCAATTTGGCTTTCAAATATTGAACTAAATCTGAATGTAGAATTCTGCTCAGACTTCTACCTTTACCACAAAAGCCTTCTAATTGTTACATATTCATCACAGAACAAGGATAAAGACATACAGATTATGGAGCAGACTTCTGTTCACTCTTATGTCAAAGTACCTGACATGGGGATCCCCAATGACAAAATACTAATCAAGCACTTGAGAAATTATTGGTGTTTTTCTCTCTGTTGGTTAGTCTCTCCTCCAGCATTCAGCCTTTTTCCCTCATGCCCTGTAGTGCATGTCAGAAGTCCCTCTCCTGTCTCATGGCCATACTTCCAGTAAGTCTTCTACTTTCCAGATCAGCATCTCTTACAGAAACCCATTGGATATTCCTATCTTTTCCTCCCTTAATCTTCAAGGTACCCATATATGTTGCCATCTGTTCACATCCGTGCATAACCAAAGGATGTCAGGCACTGGTATATGGAGAAAATAATAAGCAGTACTTACTGATGCTTGTTCCTTATTTTGTTGGCACTTCTAGAAATCTTTCCCATGACCCACAATGGCTTTAGTTTTCTTTGGGAAACTTAAGCCTGGTTGAAAACGTATGCAGTTCAAATTCCAATCATGTGATTGTCTAAAGTGTGTATATTTCCAGGTATGTATTTTCTCTTCAAACAATAGCCATCACTTATATGGCTGTAAAAGTCTGGTTTCCTGAAGTATAAGATAAATTATAATCTATGCATACTTGTAACACAGTAGCAAATGACTTTATTTAAATCTACAATAATCTGTATTAAAAAAACTCACTAATACATTTGCTGACTGTACTTCCTGCTAAGAATTCACTGTCTGTCAAAACTGCAGAATGAAATGTCTTCCCTTCCTAAACTTCCAAGTCTCAAGATAAAGAAGAACTTAAAAAATTCAGCTAAAATTAAAGATGCTTGTAAAGACTTACGTGCCTAATTGTTCATGGCTCAGGTTATTTTTAATTTGAATGAGAATATTGTAATGTAGCTCAAACAGTGGCTTGAAACCAAAGGTACAGCCAGAACTAGCTTCACATATTCATGACACATCACCAGATCTCCCCCCCCTCCACCCCTTCTATACACTGGTGCATATGCTTGTAAAGTGAGCACCTAGTTTAACTGTCTTCCCCTTCCACTTCTCAGCACATTCAGGAGTTGTACTTTCAGTGGAAGAAGTAGAAGCTGGGCTAAAAGGCCTGAAAATGGACCAGGAGGGGAAAAATGCTGCTCCATTCACGGCACAGCAGATGGAGGAAGCCCTGAATGTGGCTGGCTCCAGACAGCTCAAGAAAGATGGAGATATGTCTGCATTTAATAAATTAGTCAGCAGCATGAAGGCAAGTGGGACTCTACCATCACAGCCCAAGGTCAATGTAAGTAACAAATTCCTGACACTAAAATATAAACGGATCCATGACAAGGTACAGGAAATGAACCGGAAGCGCCTCAGCATGTCTCTCTGATTTCATATTAACCATTGGTTGGATATGATGGGGTGATGGTAAATATACTGGCCTTGAGAATGAAATTAGTAATATTAAGTGAGATTATTTCTGGGGAGATGTTGGCAACTGGACCCCTTCCATGTAGGGGATCACTGACCAGAAGAGCTATGTGCATGTTTTCCAGTTTAGTCTGTAGCTGAACACCTCCAAAGTTTCTAGTACTTAAAATTTAATAGTGTTGTCTAATCAGACAGATGCTAGACTTCACAAATGGACCTCGACTGAAGATTTAGGAAGACTGCTCAGTCTGACCCCCAAGCTAACAGGCAAAGTTCTAGATCTTGCTTGACAAAAAGATAACATCTCATGTTACAAAAAATTGGCCATTTTGGTTAGGGGAGAAGGCTTATCTCTGCACTTAGTCTTGCCCAAAAAGTTATGCCTTGAAGGGTTAACTTGTATCTTTCTGTTGAAGGTTTATTTCTGTTGCACATCGCACAAAGCACATGTGTTAATGACCTCATAGAGAACACTACCTAATACTGCTTTGTTTCCTCTTTGTGTTAGTGGAACTGTTGGAGCAGTTTCCCCAGTAGAAACACTGAGATCAGTTTGGCCTCCTGCACTACTTCAGATGATAGCAGTAATACTTGTAATAGTCAGGTGCTCTGAAACCTCTTGGCTTTAATGAGTATTTGTACAATTGTGTTAATACAGATACAGTGTACAATACTAAGACTGTTAAATTTTAAAATAGCACGTCTTTTACTTAATGGAGTAAATCATGACTATCTCTAACATGAGGTAGACCTGAGAATTATACTAAACTTTAATCTTTCAGAAAACAAATGTGATCTCTGTATCCAGTAGGAAGTATTTGATGCATTATTGTGACTTCAGACTATAAATGCACTTTAAACCAATGGATCTTTAGTTATTGTAAAAATGGTGGCAAAACTTGAATATGGTGTCTTATGTATTTCTGTTTAACTTCAGATCAAGTCAGTTGATTTCTTTTTTGTTTTTAATTTCCAAACTTGCAAACAACCTGGAATTTGAAAGTCAACTTCATTATTTTTCTTAATCACTAGTAAGACTTCTCAGGACAACTCATGCTCTTCACTATACCTATCCAACCTCTAACTTTCTATGCAGAACCATATATGAAGGCAAAATTAAGAAAGTGGGGTTTCAGAAGTGTAACTTGAGGTATGAATTTGGCCTGTAGAATTATTGCTGTGAACTTATTTTATAGTCAGGTTTTATCTTGCTAAAATGGCAAAACACATGGCAGAAACTGAGCATAGTTAATCTGGAAGGCACAAAGACACACGTACAACTCACTTACTGTCTTTAGACACAGGTCAAAAGAACCACACTGTTGTGATTTTAATAAAATTCAGCTTTTCTCATCTAGTCCAGTGCAGTCTCTCTCCAATCTGCAAACACCAGGTTATGCATATCTGGAAGGTTTGGGGTTTATGACTTGTGGGTCTCTAAAGACTCTTGAAACAAACTCTTTCCATGTAAGTGCAATAGAGGTTTTCATACACTATAAATGCACTCATTCAGTACTGGTCTCTCTGCTGGAATTGGAAGTTTCTCTGGGATAATGGATTGCACAAATTAAGAACTGGAGTATGTGCATGATAGCTGTAGGAAAAAGGAGGGCTTTTCCATGTCCCAGTCTATTAAACCCTTTGATTTTTTTCCAAATGTTGACAATATCAAGGCATGTAGTCTTGTATAGTTACAAACTTTGTAACTATACATCTATTAAATAGAAATTGCTTATCTGTTAAACTAATGTTGTACCAAAATTAAAAAATTTCAACATAATTGTCACTCACACATATTGGAAAGAGGGATGAGGACAAGGTTATTTTGCTATTTTGTATCTTTTGTTTTGCTGGACTACTCATTCAAGCTTCAACATTGTATTTGATCAGAAGCAAACTGGGTGAGTGGGAAGATTTTTATAGCAAGGTATGTCGGGCATCTTAATTTATTTCATCACTTGGTTAATTTTTACATCCCCCATAGATTACCATGCAAGCATCAAGATAATCAATTTTATGCATCAGAAATGGACTCAAAGTATTCTAGATCAGATCTCACCTCTTTTCATATGGTGGACTGACTCCCCTGTCACCCACAATTTCCTATCATCCTTATGGCAACTATAGCATAACTTACAAAGTATTTCACAAATTTAGCTACCTATGCAATTTAACGGATAAAAGCTAGTGAAGCCTGCACTGAGAGCACTTGACAATTTAGAAAATCTGTTGGACCTCAGTCAGACCTACAATCAGCAGTTTTAACTGGGACCCATCTGAGCTGTTTAGCTAGCAGTGCTTATCAAAGACTTAAATTATGAAATTGTAATTATCAGTGGGATAAGAAGGTGGTTTGACTCTTAATGAAGTATGTACAAGGATCTTTATCACTACATCTTGTGGTGGATGTCTCCTAAGTTATGGGAATGGTGTGGGTTCTGAGCCTCCTTATTATAATCAAATCTTTACAAACTACATGCAGATGTGAGAAACTGTTTTTTTTTTTTTTAACTTAGCAAAGCCTTGAAAGCCACTTGATGTCTCCTTCTGAGATCCCAGGCCAACCTCTCCCAAAGAACATTTTGCAGGTATTTCTTTTTGAGATTGTCACCTTGAAATGCTCCTTTACTCTCTTGTGTGAGAAGCAAAAGATCATCCCAAAATGTGATTTTTTTACACACATTGTGGATTGCAATAGGGATATCAATAGTCAGATTCATTCCCACCAGACAGAAGCAGAAAAAGTGTATAGGAGAGATGACATGCTAAGTCATTGACAAGATTGAGAACTAGCTATTCAAAACTTGCCACAGACAACTGTCTGGAATATCAGAACAGAATTTTCCAGACAATAGAACTTTTATATGAGGAAAAACACTAAAATTATAGAGATTAGTTTCTTCTGTTAAAGAGAAGCTGGATGGGCCATTAAACTTAACTTGACAGACTTCATGTACACACTTGCGTTGTATGTGTATAGCTGTCAATGTGGCACAAGTACTACTGTCTGCAGATTGTATGAGAACTATATAAATATGTCAATATTTGACCGCTATTCATTACTTTTTTTCTCCAAGGAACTTCTTGGTCCACCCATTGCCAGACCTGCTTCATCCAATGTTCTTAGTGGCTTGATAAGTGGCTTGGAACCTGCAGCATCTTTGCTGAGCCAACGAGCACTTTCCCCTCCAATTTCACAGGTGTTTCCAACTCGGGCTGCTTCTGCAGACTACCTCCGTCATAGGATCCCCTCACCAATTGGTAAGAGACTGCTTCTAGCATGCAGAACTTCTTATAGGGAAGAGGAGATGGATTTTCTTTCGAAGCTTCAGTTTTAAAGCTGAATTCAGAGAATCACTTTGGTCAGTAACATCTAACACTTAATGGGTGATCACCTTAAGGGCCATCTGTCTCCTCTGCCTCTTCAAAGAATCCCACCTGATGCAAGTCTGAAAACTCCAACTGACTTGGTTGGACCTTGATAGTACTGCAAATTAAAGATTAATTATACTTTATACTGTAGACCACAGTGCTATGAACAAGAAAATACTTTTTCAGGCACTGGCTGGCACAGTCTAGTGCAAAGAGCATAGCTTGCTTCCCAGGGCAGCTGAGACAAATGCCTTGATGCTTTGCACAGATCTGCAAGTAAGCTAGAGTGGTATTGAGGAGCTTCAAAAGCAATCCATCTAACCACCTTTTGAATCAAGAAAGGTAACTGGGGAGAGGGCTGGAGTCAAGGGAGGATAAATGTCTAATCTAAAACTTGTAGATAAAGTTGTCGTCATTCTATAGGTTTTGGACCAAGTTCTCAGCAATTGCTCAGTGATCCATTTCAGGGGATGCGGAAGTCAATGAGCCCAATTGCTGCACAGGTTAGATTCAGTGATTTCTGAAACTTAAATATTTATTAATGAGCACCTTTTTAACCATTTCTTGCAGGACCTATTGGGAATGTAGGGGGTTTGAATGATGGAATGCTAATTCTTTCATATTGGCAGTTACCATGAAGATGCTACTTGTAGTTGAATCAGGAGGGGAGGGATAGCTCATTGGTTTGAGCATTGGCCTGCTAAACCCAGGGTTGTGAGTGCAATCCTTGAGGGGGCCATATAGGGATCTGGGGCAAATATTGGGGACTGGTCCCGCTTTGAGCAGGGGGTTGGACTAGATGACCTCCTGAGGTCCCTTCCAACTCTGATATTCTATGATTCAATCTTTAGTTCTGATGAAGCATGATATTCAGCACCTCACTCTTGCACTCCTGGGGGAGATGTGCTTCAGCCTTGGATCGTGAGAATGCACTTGCCATCATTTCTAGTCTGATAACACTGTTGCTGGGCCCAGTGGGCCTATTCTCAAATGTCTTTAGAACTATGTGTACTTTTTTGCAACAGTATATTGAGATGAATTGGAGACAGTAACTCAGTGGTGCAAGTTTAACTTTCAGATGAACTTACTAAAATGTCTGCCACTCCTGTTGACTGTGTAGTTGTGAGTACTTTCAACTATTTCAAACCTTTGTATTTCCTTTTATGGAATAGTGCAAGATCTGGGATAAAAAATAAATAAGTTTCACTAAGATTCTAATGCCGCCTCCTCCTCCTTGACTTCAGATGAGTCCACTGGAGATGCAGCAAGCTGCCTTAGAGGGACTAGTTCTATCACATGATTTAGCCATGCAGGCAGCAAATTTCTACCAACCAGGTTTTGGCAAACCACAAATGGACAAAAGCAGAGATGGCTTCAGGAACAGGTGAGATTCTAAACTTGCTTGACTGGAAAACACTTACTTATGATAGTGCATGCCTTTCACCTTTTCTATGCCCCGTTCCTTTTCAGTGGAGTCCATTGCTCATTACCCTTCCTCAATGATGTACTTTGGTTTCAAGGCACCTATTCTAGCCTTATTGCCAGGAAGTTATATTGGCTTATGGTGTGATGTAAAGCAGACTAATGTGCCTGACTAGAAAATAGGATTTCAGAACTTATGTCATGGAAGATAAAGAAACAGTCCTAGTAAACATCATCATATGGAAAAACCTGAACTTAAATTAATTGCAGCTGACAAGTAAAACACCTTGTTCTCATGGCTCAGTGGCTAGGCAAGTGTATGCATTGCCATAGGCCAAAGTAATAAAGCTGATCTTGGAATTTGCTTGCTAAGCAATAGAGCTCAAGCATAGCATGAAACATGTATCTTTGTGGGTAAACAGGCCATCCACTTTACATATAACCTCTTTGCTAGGACTCGATAATTCACCTGCTATGTCCACCTTGAAAGCTGGTTGTCTAGCATCTTGGCTGGCTTTCATGGACTGAGGTATATTAAACACCCTTTACAGCAAAGCACCCATCTTGAGTCTACTTCTAATGTAATTAGAACTTGTAGAATGAGAAGCCAAAAAAACTAGAACTACTGGAAGATACATGACATTTTAAGCTTATTCAGAAGCTAATGGCTATAAAGACTGTGTGAAAAATCTTAACTAAACACCAAAACTACTGGATAGAAAATTGAATCTAGTCCTCCTTTACCCACAAGTGAAAATAGCAATTAGGAAAAATCAGCTGTACAGGCTTTTCTTGAACAGCATAATGACTACTTCATTGTTTTGAAGCAGGAAATTATTATTTGCACTTAAATGGCAATGTGATCTATAAAGGGTGAAATTTGGAGATACCGCATTGATACCTGGGCAGTCACTAATTTTGGTATATCCTAAATTATACCTATTTTTTTAGCATCAAAAAGGTGAAAAGCAGGATTACCAAGACTATAATGCTGCCTTCGCCTCTTAACATTCATGTCTGTTCATAGGCAGCAGCGAGTGACTAAGTCTCCAGCACCAGGCCACAGAGGGAATGCATCTTCTCCAGCTCCTAGTGCATCCATCACTAGCATGGTCAGTACTTGCATCAATGTTTCCTTAATATGGAGAGGAAGAGGGTTAACTTTAAAGCAGCATACTACCATTCTTGAAATACCTTGCCATTGATGCTATTCTTGAAATACCTCGTAAATAACTTATGGTAGGATTAATGCAGTTTGAGAATAACTACTTGTGGCTTGGATGAGTTCATCTCTATTGGCACATTGGATGACCATATACGATATGGTCATCCAAGTGTTAGTCATTCTACTTCCTTAACCTCATTTGGATTACCTCTTAGGTTTGGAACAATGTCCTCAGCCTCTCATTGATTTAATATGAAAATTCAGGCCTTCATGTTAATCCTTGAAATTTAGGTTTTCATGACTAGTGATTTTTAGATGTCTTAATGTTTGAGTTCCCAACATGGGACACAGTGTGTGTTGTCCCATCCTGTTCTCTCCCTCTCTCCTTGCCCCCCCCAAAAAAAACAAATACTAAGCACTTGCATTCTATCACATAGGTGGTGGGCAAACTACAGCCCACATCCAGTCCATGGGACCATCCTGCCTGGCCCTGGAGCTCCTGGCTGAGGAGGCTAGCTGCCAGCCCTCTGGGCGACAGTTGGATAGAGGGTGAGGGGGCAGGAGGGCCCTGGGAGGGGGTGAGGGGGCAGAGACCAGGCTGTCTGGGGAGGCACAGCCTCCCCAACCTGGCCCTCCATACAGTTTTGGAACCCTAATGTGGCCCTCAGGCCAAAAAGTTTGCCCACTCCTGCTCTATCAGATCATGAGTTAAGAATCTAGAATCTTAACTACTCTTGAATTTGGGCCTTTACTAGAAACATTAAATGGCAATTAATTCAACTGAAATTATGTAGGACTTAAATCTATGAAAGTAGCTTTGTCATCAGTTAATCCACAATTGAACAAAAATAAAGGTTTTGACATTTGAGTTTAAGTAAAATATGCACTACAGTACAGAAAAGTCCCCTCTTGATATAAGGACAATAGTTCCCTAGCTGGTCTGCAGAGCACTTGCTGGTGGCCCATAGCAAGAAGTCTGGCCACCACATTCTGGTTCTTTCAAGCTGCTGCATCAAACAGCTAAAAATACATCTACCTAATAACTGGTTCCATGTAAGCAATTCTTATAGTTGCCACAAAGATGTGTAATTTTGGGAGGGGAAGTGCCTTTCATGAGAATCTAAGGGCCTGTCTACACTGGGAGTTAATCACTGAAAGTGGATTAGAGCTAAACCAGAATAAGTCTCTCGTCACCATATGGAGTTACTCAGGAATAGCTACTGTGCTTTAAATTCACACCCTCTCTTAATCTGAATTGCCTGTCAAGTGCAGACAAATCCTTAAGTATACACAATGAGAACCCTTGTTCTAAATCTCTGGGCTCTTCTAGTACAAAGTAAACTCATGCACTTCTGGTAAAATGAGATTCATAAAAAGTAAAAGCAGAAAATAAACCCAGAATAGTGAAGACAAGCAAAAAATCTTGGTTGGGGGCTCAACCACATTAGGCATGACAGGAAATATTGCCTTTAAGTGCGGAATGTTTATTTGAAGGGAAAATACTGATTACTGGGATGCATGTGACCTTGTGCAGGGTTGCAAAAAAAAATTTCTCTATTTGCAGACTAACAGATATAATGCCTAATACAGTAACTCCTCACTTAACATTGTAGTTATGTTCCTGAAAAATGCAACTTTAAGCAAAACTATGTTAAGCGAATCCAATTTCCCCATAAGAATTAATGTAAATGGGGGGTTAAGTTCCAGGGAAACTGTTTTCACCAGACAAACTCTCACTTATATATTCACTCCAACTTAATACTGTACACAGCGATGATTGTGAAGCTTGGTTGAGGTGGTGAAGTAAGAGGGTTGGATATTTCCCAGGGAATGCTTTGTTAATGTAGCCTCTCACTCTACAAGGCAGCACAAATGAGGGGAGGGGAGACAGCATGGCACAGGCCCACACCCTGTGTGTGGGGGAGAGAGAGATGCACATTGCCCTTTAAGTATGCTGATGGCATTCTAAGTACATTGCCTTTAAAAAGATCAGGAAGTTGAGATAGCAGCTGCAGCCAGCAAGCTCTATCTGTCCTGTCCCCACCCTGCTCTATATGGAGAAGGGGTAAGCAACTGGGGGGGCAGGAGTAGGGGGAGGGGATACCCTGACATTAGCCCCCCTTCTATCCTCCCCTGCACAGGAGGCTCCCAGGAGCAGCACATGGCAGTGCAGGGAGGGAGAGCTCAACTGCTGGCAATTGGGTGGCTGCAGCACAGGGAACTTAGGGGAGCTGATAAGGGGAATGCCAGTCTACCCTGGTTCCAAGCCCCCACCAGCTTGCTCCAACAGGCTGCTCTTCCTGCAAGCAGTGGACAAAGCTGCCAAATGACATAAGGGAGCATTGCGCAACTTTAAATGAGCATGTTCCTTAACTGATCAGCAACAAAACAACATTAACTGGGATGCCTTTAAGTGAGAAGTTACTGTACCTTATACTAACTGTTCTGGGTATCATTTGCTCACTGTCAGTTACTCTTTTCACAGCTTTCTCCTTCCTTCACGCCTACCTCAGTGATTCGTAAGATGTATGAAAGCAAAGAAAAAAATAAGGAGGAGACAGTTTCTGGGAAAATAAAAGCCAGTGATAGTAAAGATGAAGGGCAAAGGACACACGAAGGTACTATAATGGCTTTGTTCTTGAAGGCAGATTCACAATTCACAACTTTTTTGATTCTAGCCTTGTGTATTCCTGCTCCTTAAATTAAAGTCTGGTCTCTAAAGTAGTGTTAAGACATTCCCAACCTCCAGGACAGTGTTTATGAAGATGTACTTCAAACTTCCTGTACCTCTTACTAGGAACCTAACTGACCTCTCCCTGAGCAAAATCCACCACTGTGGGCTTTGATAAACTCACTTTTTCTGAAGGTCAGGTCCTCTTGGATACAGTTGCACAGTGGTGTCTAAAGGATGACCTGAAAAATCTAAATGCTGATGATGGCTTAGACTTGCAAACAGGGTTTTTTGGCTTCTAACCTATTAGAAAAGGGTAGGTTGGTAGGAATTGTGTATTTTCCCATGTTAGACACACTTCCATCCTTTCCTTATTTGAGAAGAGTTCTTGGGGATCAGGTGCAATCTAGAACTCTTGAGACTGCCCTTCAATGACTTGCTCTGCCAGCTGAGACTTTATTCAGCAGATACTTGTCACCTTGCTTAAAGGATGTCCCAAGCAGAAGTTAAGAAGAAATGCTCAAAATAGTAACTGGTTGACCCAATAAAAATAGTGTGGTAGAAGGGTAAACTGGAACTGAGAAATTTATATTGTGACGATTCTGCAACTGCTTCTGACCAGTCACAAACGAAATAATGGCCCTTTTCTCTACTCCCTTTGACAGTCATTTCAGCTGACTAAATATAGCCTGGTAAAAGATTTCTAACTCCCACAGTGATCCAGTAGCAGTTTTGTTTTGTTTTTTTTATACCTCAGCTGCACCTTGTAGGATTTTTGTTTTGTAGAACCAGCTTCAAATGCAATGGAAGATTGCGGGGATGAAAGTGGTTATAATGGCATCAAGAGCCAGACAAGATTTCTTTAAGATGAATACCTGGGTAAAACATCTACCCCTCTCACATTGCATTTTAGAATTTAATGTGGCTAGATGTAAATAGCCTTACAGCACCTCTTATTCAGATGTTCTGCCTCACATGGTTAGATTCCATCCACTGATTAACTTTGTAACTTGACTACAAAATTGAGCTGGGGTTTGGAGTAATTAAGTCAGTAACCTTAAATGGCATGAGTATACACTGATGGAGGACTGGGCTTAGAGGTTGCTGCAATGGAGGAGCCTCTGTAGGAGAGGAGAGACCTCTTAAGATCTGAAAAGCTGCAGCTTCGTTCTCTTCACCTTAACTAAACGTTAGTGGACATGGCATCCTCAGTTGACTCTGCCCTTGGTTACCAGGATATTTCCTCCTGTGTAACTACTTCTATTCCTCAACACGCTTGTTGATCCTTCTTCATTTCTACTTCTAGCAGTTAAATTTTTATGGAAGTTGGCTTACTAGATGAGAAGCTTGTCTTGCCTGTAAATTTTTCATCTTTGGGAAAACTGGTAATCCTGTGCATTCTTTTCCCCCCTCTAACTCTAGAAATATTCTGTGTGGTTGTGGGTGCCTCAGTCTCCAAGGGGCTAAGGACTGAGTGCTAAAAGTAAGGACTGCCTCCAATTTGCATGTGATTAATTCCAGTAGTTAAGACTGGATGTCTCCCCAGAATACAAACTTACTGCAAAACAATTATCACTTAATCAAACTTAGTTGTATTTCTAAATTATAACCTGTCCAACTGGATTTCCAGGCATGCTCCTCTAGCAGTAAAGACTGCATCCAATCCTGGAGCTACAAGGGCATTGTTGGTAGGCTCATGTAGCTAATCTGAAGAACCTAGGTTTGAAGGACATCACTGTACTGAGCTAGGTTTTCAGACCTAGCTTGTCAGTGTTTCAGTGTGAATTTAATAAAGCTGAGACACTAACGGTGGATTTTTTAACTCAAATACTGACTCTTCTCATTGCTTCCTCAACTTTCCTTTGACTTCTGAAGGAATCCAGGACAGAGGAGGCAAGTGGTAGGAAGACACCTGACTAAATTCAGACTCTTGTATATCTTCCAGACTTGAAATTGATAGTCTAGCAAATACCATACCTAGCTTTAAGACATTTCTGCCTTTTGTACATTGCACAACTAGAAATCAGATTTAAGTCCTATTTTAATTTGACTACAGATAACTTACTATCAGCTAGCTTGGTGGAGAATGCAGATCAAGATCCTTCACCTGCTATAGGTACCAAACTAGCTGCATTGCAACGCTCTGCATGTTCTACACCGCTTTCTCAGCCAAACCGTTGCACCAAAGAACAAGACTACAGGCCTAAATCAACTGGCAGAAAGACTCCTACAACAGCCTCCCCTGTACCAGGGTCTCCCTTCCTTCGTCCTGTTCACCAGGTACCCCTTGTTCCCCATGTACCAATTGTACGACCTACTCATCAACTGCATCCAGGATTGGTCCAGAGGATGCTGGCACAGGGGATGCATCCACAACATCTTCCTCTGCTGCAAGCAGGTAATCCTTTTACTTGTACCACTTAACTGCAAGGGTGAAACTTCAAAATAAACTTGTTCTTAGCCTCAAAGAAGCACAGACACCCTTACATAATGCAAGACTAAGACATGTGGTGATAGCTACAAATAGGCTATTTTCCCTATACAACAAACACCTTTCATAAGGCTGACAGTACTCTCTCAAACCAATTACTAAACAAGTGTTCCTTGTAAATAAAGCTCCTTGTTTTATATTTCTGACATTTTAATAAAGCAAAGTAATGAGCTTCTCCAACCTTGTCTACTCAATAGGTATGATTCCTCCAGGGATGGACTTGTCTCACATACAGGGAATATCTACTCCCATCCTCAGCCAGCCTTTTTATCCATTACCAACAGCTGGCCATCACCTCTTAAACCCACGCTCTGGGACACCTCTGCAGCTGGCAATGATGCAACAGCAACTACAGCGATCAGGTAGGTTAAACAAGAGAATCAAAGATAATTATGGCCTTCTAGACCTGACTAGATCTGCACCCTAGGAACTCCTTTGTACTGTCCCATGTTCAATGAATGAACTTAGCTAACTGAAGGCACCTGGTATCTGTATGCTACAGTTAAAACTTTCAAAGTAGGAAACTGTCATCCACAAGAACTAGGCTTCAGGGGAGAATGTAAATTCCCTAGATAGCTTGGGAAGTCGGAACCTTCCTTTCCACTTAACTGTAGCATGATTACTCTCTCCCTGGATCATGGGGGTGACCTTTTTTGGCCTTTTCCTTCAGCTGCTGGAGTGGGTTTTTCACCTCCTAGTGCTTCTGCCATCTACTTGGGCTGAGCAGCTGCCTCTCCTCTACCTTTTTTCCCTTATTTGGGAGGCCTTGGATAACCCCCAACTCTTATTACTCTAATCTTTGAGATTGACACTCCTGCTGATGGTCTTTCAGCTGAGATCTGGATGTGGTTTCCTCTAGTCGTAAATGTACTAATTTGAGTTGCTGCTGCTGCACAGTGGCATCAGTATGATCAACATGCAGTTATTAGGCTAGGGAAATACTGAACTCCATAGTAGCTCACATTTGCCCTGTCCAGTTTCCATATTAGCTGTTCATTCACAATTCCTCTTAGGACCAAAAAAGGGGTTTCCTGGCCTTAACTCTCTACCTTTTTCTCTCCCTCCTCCCCCCTTCTCCTACCTCTAATAGTTCTCCACTCTCCAGCTTCTGGAGCACAGGGATCTGCTGTTGGTGTGCAAACCACGCCTCAGAATGTGCCATCTCGGACTGGACTGCCTCATGTACACTCACAGCTTGACCATCACACCAGCCAGAGAAGTGGTTCTCCTATTGGCCTTGCAAAATGGTTTGGTTCAGATGTTTTGCAGCAGCCCCTCCCTTCCATGCCATCCAAAGTCATCAGTGTAGATGAACTGGAATATCGGCAGTGAGCAGTGACCTCTAGGAGGCTGGGTAGCTGTTTCTTTAGACTGGAAAAAGAGTCCTGATAGTATACATTGTGCTTCACCTGTTTGTTTTGGGGCTTTTATTTTTAGCACTCTGTGCAGAACTTCTTTTCAAGAGACTAAAGCACATGGCACCTGTCCTGGTCTCCATGTCTGGGTCAAGACTGAAGGATCCATATGGCTTGAACCATGAAGCCTGAAGACATTTAGATGCAATACAAAGCCAGTTTAATCCTGGAAATGTCTATTTTTTGTTTTTGTAAAATATGTGAATGAAGTGCTGATAACCTCTGGTGTAGAGGGAGCAGCTAAGGGTTCCTCCTGCAGAAAATTAAATGTATAGACCCTTGTGTACAAACTTGTGTATAAACAATCTTTTGTATATATACCTAGGATAGCTTTTTTGAACCTATACAGCTGTACATAAGAGTAGCTGATAAGTTGAGCTTTAGTTGTGCCTATGGTTTGGATCGCTCCATTGTACATGTGGGACTTTTGTTTAAGATTAAAGTTGCAAATGCCAAGTGTGTGAGTGAACAAGATAAAGCTGATTTCTCTTCTTGCTGTTTCTCTCATGTCTCCCTCTCAGCACATTTCTCCTTGTCTTATGTAATGTGCAGATTCAGTGTAGCTGAAGTTGAAGTAAAAGCCCACAACTTGATCCTTGTACAACAAATGTCTGATTCCTTGTGGTTTTTCCATCAAAATAGTTTCTTGAATAGTTTCTTGAAACTGCTTCAAAGAGGAGACGTGGTGCAGTGAGCCAAAAGGGTCAGTCCTTTAGTCTGCAGCCCAAGACTTTGCACACTGCTCCATATTCAGTCAAGGTAAATGCATACTGTATTGGTTGTCATAGTGCTCACAGCAGGGTTGGCTCTGGTCCTCTTGTTAGCTGCACTATTGTTTTAATTTGGATCTTCCAAAGTTAAAGGTCAACAAATTGAGCCTTTAACTTTCTTCAGCGTCTTAGAACCCTTAATTCTTTACATAACCATAGCTACAGTAACTTGTTCTATGCTAATCTCCAGCTCTATTTGTAGAGGGGAGTCCCAGCACCATGTCCCATCTAGCATGCATCCATTGATGCAGTTACTGTGAAATCTGGATGGTTTTTTCTTCTGCTTTCAGGGGTGAGGGTATTCTGAGCCTATTGTGTATATTTTTTAAAAATGGGTTTTTTAAAGCCTGTGCTTCATCAGGTAGTGTATGTACTCCCATCTTTCTACTGCATGATTCCTGCATTCACTTTCTCACTTGGAGTCTAGTACTGTTGCCTTACTTGCTTATCAGACATTGTACCTTTTTTTAAAAGGTGAAAGCAAACTCCAAGTTCTCACCAAGATTTGCTCTTCTCTGAATGCAAAACCAGCAGCAGAAAATCACTTGACTATTCTATAAACTGCCAGCAAGCTGCAGGAGGTTTCAGATAAGTAGACTTTTGTGCAGAAAGAGCAGGTGGGCACCTTTAATGTGGAATCTATTGGGATCACAACTATTTAGTATAAAGTCTCACTGATTATTACTCATACTCAACAAGGTCAATGATGTAAAACACAATCACCGCTCATCTTTGTAAAACTTTTCATAAATTTTTAACTTCCCAATAGCATTCTGTAAATAAAAGTCAATTCTACCAGCTTTCTGCCTCAACTGCTCTTAAACAGAACTGTCCCTTCAGATGATAGCTGCCCTTTTGCTGTGACTTGCTTCTTGCCATGTTATTCCATGGGTATTTTAAGCAAAAATACTCTTTTTTAAAAAATAACTCTGTAGATAATAGCTGTAAACCAGAACCCTAACTTAAGATTTCCAAATGCAGTAACTAGTTCCTTTGTCATGTTTTTCTGACTGCCTTGTGGTTACACTGTAAATGTAAGTTCTGTGAAAATATCTTGTAACAAGATTATTCATTCTGGTCTGAATAATCCACTGGTCCAGGGACATATAAAAGTGGGCCTACTTCAAGCTATCACTAGCTTCAGGAAGTCAAGTGCCAAAGTTTTCCTTGGTCAACTAGCTCAAGCAAAAACACCTAGGTTGGTCTTTCCAGCTGCCAAGGCTGGGCTAGCAGATGCTTACTGCTAATATTTTTCCAAACCTCAACTGCTGCAAATTATCTATAGTATGACAAAAGCTAGCTGGAGCTATTGGCTCTGGGGCATGGGGCCCCTGGCAGTTGCCCTGATTGCTACTGTCTAATGCTAGCCCTGGCTTTTACATGCAGAAACAATTGTGGCACAGGTGGGGTGTGGAGTTTTTATAGCATAGGGGTGGGGGCTCAAAGGAAGAGGCTGAGAACCCCTGCTATAGAACACAGAAGGCTACTGAATCCTGCAAAGCACCTTAATCTTTGACTTATAAATGGCTGAACTGGTGCTGTAGTACAGGGTTGTTTCACCAGGCCACCTCTACTTTTTTGGGGGGGAAGAGAAAAGGAGAGAACTTTAAAAAAAAAAAACCCTTCACTACTGTACTGTGTTGCAAGCCTTAGCCTAGTGATAAAATAAGGAAAGGACTGTAGACTGCCAAAATCCAAAGAACCAATTTCTTCACTTGCTGCAGGTCTTCAGTGGCACTTCAGCAGCAGGTCCTTCACTTGCTCTGGGTCTCTGGCAGCACTGAGGGCTGTACTGCTGAAGACCTGGCCAGACAGGACCATCCTGCAGGCTGGAGTTTGCCTAAACCTTTAACAACCAGTTCTAAACCAGCTTCAAAATTTAACTGGTTCATGCACTCCAGCTCATGACTGACTGTAGGTACTACAACCTTTTTCCAGAGCAGTACAGTAAATTCAAGTAAATACAGCTCATTTGTACAATATAAAAGCTATCACAAACTCCCTTTCTGTGCACTTTTAATGAGGCTTTAGTGTTGGGACAGAGGGGGGTGGTCACTTACTGTAAACAACCTAAATTCAACAGTACACTTAACTGGAGCTAGAATGTTAGTAAATAGTCTTGTACCTATGTAATGCAGCTCTAGACTGAATATGGAAGAGACTAGTAGTCTCATGAATTGCATATGGCATGCTCCTAGTCCTTATCTCAGCCAGGAAGAGAAGCTACTGTAATATCCTTCCATGCTATAGGCCTTTATGCAGAGGGAACCTTGTATAATTCATTGGCAAATTACTAGTGAAAGTGGTTATCCCAAATGACTTTCTAGCTGGCTGTTACTGAAGGGATTCTACTACCTTCACCACAACTATTAGCTTACTTTTAGGTATAAAAGTAAGACCAGCTAAAGCTTCCACCAGCATTCATTATCTCTTGATTATCAAGCCAACATACAAGAGTTGAGAGATGTTAAATTTGTATCTCTTGGCTAGTTTTATAGCCAAGGAGCACTCACCACTGATTGTTCTTTAACCAGATTAAGTTTGTTTAGCATTAGGTAAATTCCAGCATGCTTTTGCTTCTAGAAAGGCAGCAGTAACAGGTACTGTAGACCACATGAATATTCTACTTCTACATTGCAAAAGTCAGTTATACTTCTGAGAAGGAAAAAAACTCCTATGACCTTATTGCCTTAGGACAGACAGAAGTATTCCATAATCAAACTTTTTTTTACCCTAAACATTTAATCTTAATAGCAATTTGTAGATCTCCCTAGAGAAACTAGCAAGGCTTTACATCTTAAAAGGGAAATCGACTTTCAGAAGACTCTCCAGTAATATCAAGTAGCAGAACTTCGGAGAAACACTACAGGAATATCCCTGCACCCTGTAATCCAAAATTATCCATTCAATGCTAAACAAAGGGCATCCTGTTACTACCCAAGCAGAACTTAAGTTACCACAAAAGAGCACCAAGAAAGGTAAATTCTTAAGTGGACAAAGTGAAATGTAGACCAATGGCCCTACCAAGCAGCATAATTAAATATTTAATGAGATGATGGTAACATCCCTCAGTCCTCTGTATCATTGAGCAACAGCCAAATATGAGGAATCAGCTGCAGAGCTGCAAGGCATAAACCCTTAAATATTTAAACAAACACCTTTTGTGAAGGCTGGTAGAACCAGGCCTTCCTATTCTGAAAGTAGGGTTCATATGAGTTCTGCATTGGTAAAGAACAATTAGTTTCACTCTTGTATAAATTCCCTTCTTCCTGCCAGAAAGCATACAACTTTCAAAGCTCGCAAGGCTTTATTTTAATCCTTTTACCCTTGTGAAGCATGCAAGTACCCAACACATTAGTTTCACACCATGTCCCCAAAAGAAACTTCTCAGATCTTTATCAGAATTGTGACACTGCCTGACAGTAATCAAACATCCTTCTAGCCTTGGCAGTCTATCACTATAAAGGAAGCAACTGTCAACATAATCTTCCCCCTCCACAGCACTCAAAGCTGAGCATAAGGGAAGAAAGTCACACTGACAAAGTCAGCCCCCATGGCAAGTTAGCAGGAACAATTTTATTTCTTCACAATCTGAATGACATCCTCATCCTCAAGTGTGTGATCTTTGCCAACTTTCTGCGGATTGTGTTTAACAGACGAACCCCAGACCAGTGCACTGAAGGGAAGAGAGAGAAAAAAAATTAACTTACAAGGCATAGCAGTGCCACATAACAAACACCCTGCTTACTGTGACAGGCAGGTGCTATTCTGTATATACAGAAGGTAGCTTTCTAAAAAGATATCATTTGAGCAGGTACTCGTATATGGGCAAAAGGTCTTTGTCTCAACTCCACCTGAAGAGTAGAAGCAGCCACAGATATTATTAAGCAAGCAAAACAAAACAGTCCCTTGTACAGATAAGTAAAGTACCTATCATGCTGTGGATTAGTTATTTTCAGGCTTTTAAACATATATAGTCCCAGGAGAGCATTTTGCAAGTAAGCCAGAAGACAGAATAGCACAGAAACATTAAATCTAACCCTAGAATCATAGTGTTAGAAGCAGTGTTCCCTCTAATTTTTCCCACACGTGCAGAATGAATTATGTGCACCAATATAGAGGTGACGTGTGACATCACCTTCATATTGGTGCACATAAAATTCATGTGGTGGGGATGGGGTCAAAGGAGTTTGGGGGTGTACTCAGGACTGGGGCAGGAGGATTGGGGTGTCGGGGGGAGGTGAGGACTCCAGCTGGGGGTGAAGGAGAGTGCTCCAGGAGTACAGCAGGGGGAAGAGAGAACTCTGCCCAGCAGCACCTTGGCTGTGGAGGAGAGGCACCTCTCCCTGCCACAGCAGCTCCAGAGTTGGGGCTGCAGGATAGGCATCTCCCTGCCATCCACAGCAGGTCCAGGCCGGGCTGGCGCCCCAGCTGGTCCAGGGCTGAGCTGGGGCTGGGGAAGGGTCACCCCCATAGGCATCAACTCTGTGGGTGCTCCAGGGCTGAAGCACCCCCAGAAAAAAAAAAGTTAGCAGGTGCTGCTCAGCAGCAGCACCCACTGGCAGCCAAGCTCCTTCCATCCTGTCCCCACTGATCAACTCCTCCCCCTCCCTCCCACCCACCATGAACAGCTGTTTTGTGGCATGTTGGGAGAGGGGGGGAAGAGGGGAGTGCAACAATGGGGCATGTTTGGGAGAGGAAGCAGGGAAGATGCAGGGCGGCGCCTGGAGTGGAGAGGGGAAAAAAAAAAATCAAGCACCCCCCAACTAGAGGGTAAGTTGGCGCCTATGGGCACCCCTCCCCTGGCAGGTTCCCTGAGCACC